AGTCCCTTTCATAAAATTATTTCAGTTGTTCAAAATTTACTTCTATTTTTAATTCAGCATTTTAGGAGCTTATCCGCATTAGGTAGTAATTGTAGTTCTAGAAATAGAAAACATACCTAGGTATCAATAATGTGTTAGCTAACTGTTTTACGAAAGGCAGGATGAGGTTTCCTCAAAGATGTCCATATTGTGATTCTAGAACTTACGAATATGTTACGTTATATGGCAGAATGGACTTTCCACATGTGTTTAAGGATCTTAAGATGGGAAAATTATTATGGATTAGCTTAGTGTAGTTTCAATTTTATGATGAAAGTCCTTGTAAGTAAAAACAAGTAAGAGAATGAGATCAAAGTGATGCAGTATGAGAAGATGCCACCAGCCATTGCTGGTTTTGAAGAGGGAGTAGTAAGGGCACCTCCAAGAAATGCAGACGGACAGCCTCCAGGATCTGGAGACAGCCAGGAAATGAATTATAAACTAGTAACTCCAATTTTGGAATTCTGACCTCCAGGAAATGGGAAAGTTGTCTTGTTGCAAATGACCACATTTGTGTTACTTTGCTAACAAGCAGCAATAGGAAACTAATGCAACTTCCACATATATACACAAAAAATGAGCCCTCCAAGAACAGCAGGTTCTGAAATGTTTTTCATTTGGCTTACTGAATTTTCAGTTAAAAACCATGTGCTCAGGGCCTTCCCGGTGGCGCAGCACTTGAGCACTGAGTTGCGAAGCTGCCCCCAGCCTCTGCAGCGCCGGTTCGATGCCTGGCCACCTGGTGAGGGTCCCACATGGCGCACAGACCTCTCCTGCTGCCCACTGCTCCGCTCAGCAGTGTACTTCATCAGTTTGCCTGCTCTGCTCTCCGCTCTGACCCTGGTGAATTCTCTCGCCCTCCTGCGCTTCTGACTGTACCCAGTGCTTGTATAAATAAATAAATAAATCTTTAAAAAAAAAAAATTTGCTCAAACACTGAAACTATCCTTACTTTCTAGTGGGCAAAAGAACTCCAGTCACATTGAAGAGGAACAAAATTAAAAAATGAAAATTAACAGTCACTAAAAAATGAAGTAATCAAAAGTAAAAAATTTATAAATTTATTAATAAGTTATCAGCAGTCACAACCCACTAGAAGTTGTAACTAGCACAATATTCAATAACAATTTTCCCTCTGAAAAATGATGGGGATTCTAGGGATCTGCATTTGCTTGTACATAAAGAGGAAGCGTGCAGTGTTGCTAAGCATTGTGTGAAGTTAGACACTGAACTCATGTTGTACAAGTTTTAGTTTATGAGCATCAAGTTTTACTAAACCTCAATAACTCATTTGGTAGGTTACTTACTTAGAATTATCCCCTTTCCATATTAAAACTCAGTCTTTGAAATGGACTCTTGAGAATTGAAAACAACCCTTGGTTTTGGAATACCTCTAACGAACAGCAGACTAAACTTTGTATAAACATTCTTCCTGCAAGTTCTGTATATTGAATTGGAAATGAAATGTCCATTGTATGTATAAGATGAAGAGCTCTGAAGAGGGGTTGAAGGAAGAAAAAAGAAAATTTCAAATTTGGATTCCTGAGAGATGATACTGTTCATAATGTAGGTCATTATAAATTCATTCTTTTTCTTGGAACACTTTGGTCTGAATTTACATTTTTCATTCATCTATAAATATTTCATAATATATATCTAGAAGATATGGAATGCTATACCATTATCACTCATTACACAAGTAACAATTGTTTGAAACTAATCAAGAGTTTAGAGTTATGCCCTCCCCCCATAAATATAATGTGGTTGTGATGCTGTATTTCTTGAAAATTTCCATAAAAAAATAAAAATGGATATTCGATACATTCAGATGGGATCTAATTGAATCATGGAAGTCAAAGTCTCCCTAAAGCTGATGGAGTTCAAGTAATTGAATGTTTTCATCCTGTTTCCCCAGCACCACTAGGAATTTTCCACCTAAATTTCCACAATTCTTTTAATAATCTTATAATAGGATTTCAAGCCTCCTCACACCTTAGTTCTTTAGGATACTCTTAGTGTTCTTTAAAATGTGATATGAATTCATGTTTTTGTGTCCTTTGGGTAGATACCTTAGAGTGGAATTGCTGGATTATATGGAAGCTCCATTTTTAGCAGATTGAGGAACCTCCACACACCTTTCCATAGTGGTTGGACCAGTTTGCACTCCCACACAGGGTAGGAGAGTTCCTTTTTCTCTTCATCCTTGCCAACATTTGTTGTTGCTGTTTTTTTTAATATGTGTCATTCTCACTGGTGTAAGGTGGTATCTCATTGTAGTTTTGATTTGCATTTCTCTGATTACAAGTGATGTTGAACATTTTTTCATATGCCTATTGGCCATTTGCATTTCATATTTAAGTCTTTTTTTTAAAAAAGATTTATATGTTCGCGCATACAAGAACCGGGGTATAGGCCAGATGTGCGGGAGAGTGAGAGAATTCACCAGAGACAGAGTGGGAAGCAGAACAGGCAGACTGACTGAAATACACTGCTGAGGGGAGCAGCGGGCAAGACAGGAGAGGTCTGCTTTGCCATGTGGGATTCTTGACGACCAACCAGGATGGAACCAGCACTGGAGAGCCTGGGGACAGTTTCACAGTGCTGAGCTCAACCAACTGTGCCACCAGGGGAGGCCCTGCCATTTGCATTTCAAAGGACACCTGCACCCCTATGTTTATTGCAGCACTATTTACAATAGGTAAGCTATGGAAACAACCCAAATTCCCCCATATATGTGACTGGATCAAGAAGATGTGGTATATATACACAATGGAATATTACTGAGCAATCACAAAAGGTAAACTTATGCCATTTGCAGCAACATGGATGGAACTAGAAGGGCTCATGCTCACTGAAATAAGCCAGAAAAAAAAAAAAGTACCAGATGGTCTTACTTATAGTAGGAATTTAGAAGACCCAAATAAGGGATTAGGAAAAAGACTAATTATAATAAAGTAAAAATCAAAATCAACAGGCAACTATAAACCAGAGACACACTATGGGGGGGGAGAAGGGAGTAGGATCAAAACAAAGGTGGTGGGAATTTTACGGGGACTATAACCAAGATGAAAATGCATACATTGTACAAAAATGTAAAATTATGTAAAGAATATATAAAATTGAAAAATAATAATTATAATGTGTCATAATTTTTGTAATATATTAATGATTTTAATAAAATGATTATTGCATGTCAAAAAATTTTAAAATTGTGATATGCAATATTCTAGATATGAAAAGGCAGCTCACCATCATCAAATTATCATTTTTTCTTTATTCTGTTGATGAATTCTAAGATTATGTCAATCTTTTGTTTCTCTGTTTTAATCAATGCATTATTTATTCAACAAAAATTTATTGAAGATCTACTAGTGAACAAAACAATCAAAAAGGTCTTGTTCTCATGGAGTTTACACTTCATGATTATAAGGGATTATTGACTTCCAAATGTAGAAGTGTTTTATGTTGTCTGCTTTGTATCACATCCATTTTATCATTTAATGCCACTGTTTCCTTGGTTATTTTCTGTCTGGGTGATCTGACCATTATTGTAAGTGCTATTATTGTGTTGCTTCCATTGTTTCCCTTTAGGGCTGATAGTATTTGCTATATATATTTTGGTGTTACTATATTGGGTGGATATATATTGACAATTATGTCTTCTGGTTGTATCACTCCCTTTATCATGATATAGTTTCTACCTTTGTCTCTTGTTATATTTTTGGGTGGATGTCTGTTTTGTCTAAGTATAGGGTTTCCTGCCTTTTTAAATTTTCATTGGCTTGGGATACCAGTTCCACCCCTTGACTTGAAGTCTGTTTGTCTATAGTTTAAGTGACACTCCTGTGAGCAGCATATAGTCAGGTTTTGCTTTTAGTTTCATCTGACCACATTTTGCCTTTTTTTTAAAGATTTATTTATGCATACAAGAACTGGGGTGCTGGCCAGAGGTGTGGGGGTGAGAGAATTCACCAGAGACATACTGGGGAACCAAACAGGCAGATCTACTGAAATACACTGCTGAGGGGAGCAGTGAGTGAAACAGGAAGGGTCTGCTGCACCATGTGGGTAGCTCCCTTGCCAGGAATCTAACTGGTTCTACAGTGGCTGCAGATAGTTTCACCATGCTGTGTTTAACCCTTTGCACCATCAGGGAGGCCCTGCTTTGCCTTTTGATGGGTGAGTTCAGTCTATGCATTAAAAGTGATTATTGATACATAAAGATTGTTGTGGCTATTTTGTCTTTAGTTTTATGCTTCTATTTATTCCTTGTTTAACTTTTTCATGAACTATCACCTACTTGATTTAGATAGGAGAGCGCCTGGCAGCATAAAAAGTCTTATAGGGAAGGTCTAGTGCTGGCAGACTCACTCAGCTCCGGGACTCTCAGTGCACTGGTCTCTGGTTAACTGTTAGATGTTTCTCTTAGGAGTAAAGCAAAGAACCTCCTCTTGGCCAGCTTAATTATGTCATTGAAAAGCATTTCCAAAGATTTGGCAGCTTACCATGCATAATGGTTGCCATTCTTTTACAATACAACCTATAAATGAAGACTTTTTATCCTCCTTTACACTTCTCACTTAATTCAAAATTAATTACTATTGCCTTTCCTACCTGTAAACAATATCATCAAATGAAAATGAGCAGAATTATAGTGAGGTATTTTCAGGAATGAAGTAACAACAACAACAACAACAAAAAACAAAAGATACAACTTCAAGATTGATGGTTGATGAAAAATTATGCACAATTTCAGGAACACAAGCATTGCTTTTTAGTTAACTGCCAGAGTGACAGTAGTGCACTGCTTTGCTGAGGACAGTTCTTAAGAAGTACATCACCCAGTATTCTGGATGTTGGCCATTTGATTACACTATTTCCATTCATGCGTATAGACTTTAGACTTATTTTAAATTATGCCGTAAAGAAAACTAATATGATTTTTATTTTATTTTATGCAGAAAACAAAATGGTTTTGCAGCATCACTGACTAAAATAATGACTGTAATTTCAAGGCACTTTCAGAAGCGTGAGTCACTACCTTTGCTTGAAGTAAGGTTACCTAAGGTCATTTGATTGGACATACATAAATTAATCCCCAGGGAGTTTGTCCCAGCTGACAGACAAAGGACCCCGCTCAACATTCTAATGTGACTGATTGTATTGCTTCCTCCCAAATCTAATCAGTCTTTTTGATTTTCTTTCTATAGTGTTTTTTTTTTCCAAAACTGTTCCATTGCTTCCCCTCTGTGTTCTGTGTCTCAGTATCTTTTGCTTTTTGAGAGGAATGATCTCCCAAATAACCCCTCTGCTCTAATTCATCTTGTCCATTGCTGTCAAAAATCTCATCTTGAAACATGCATCATCTCCTGTCACTTTCTTCCTCTAGAACTTGTGCTTCTCTTCCTGCTTCCTATTGAACATTTCCATATGAGCTTTCCATTTACAACTTCTAAGTCTTTACAAGGTAATTTTCATTTTGTTTTGTTTTTTTTTTTTTACAACTAACTAAGCTCTTTGCTCCCACCTGTAGCATCTATCTGGGATTTTATACATGTGGGGATCTCTGTCTCTCTGTATCATTTCCAGAGTGGATAAGAGGGGTGGAAGAAAGTGGGGGATCTTTGTATTTTTATGCTGTACTACATTCTAATGAATGAGAGGGGTTCATGTGTCTTTGGCATGAATGTGAATTACCATGTCTCGGATGAGCATTAGAAGTTGATGAGAAGAGTAGACAGAAAAGTAGAGTCTGTCTGACAAGATGGAATAGAAAAACGATAACAGCAACTCAGGGACATTACAGGTGGAAGTGCTTAAGTGAGAAATTGTGACCAAGCAGCAAAGAGAGCTCGCAGACTGGTGGGCAGTAAACACACCTTATTAGACAAATGGTGTCAAGGTCATGGCAATACTAAATTTGTAGTAAAGACTTTGTAAGCAGTGGATTTGGGTCATCATTCTAAGCATACTTAAATCAGATTGGTTCATAAAAGCAGTACAAGGTACTCCATAATCCTTGAGTTAGTAGTTTAATCAGATGGATATGTTTTAGTTATTTATATGCAAGTTTAAAATCAGATGAATTTATTGATTCTTTGTTACTTCTACAAAGCAGTTTGTGGAGGTGTAGACATCACTGGATATAGATTAAAAGAGATCTAAATTAATGGAAGATCATATTTTCTGAAGATGGCCACAGCAAACTCTCCTTCCTCCACATGCCCTTCTGCAGTGTCACCTTGCCTCTTCTCCCTCTTCTACTTCTCGTCATTGCATCTGGGCAGGTCATAACTACCATGACGTAAAACAAAAACCCTGATAATAACAACAAAGATAAAATCAGCAGAAGTGATACTATGCTGGTTTTAGGCACAGCCTATAAGTAGCCTGGCAGCCTTACTACTGCTTCTTGGAAGACAGCCCCCACATAGAAGACATGGCCATCCTGAACGACCAAGAGCACAAGATATCTACATATCATGGCAGGGTTTCTGAGGATGAAACTGTGATGTGGAGATGGAAAGACAACAGGAAGCACTTAGGCCTCCCACATGTGGGTGAAGAAACCATCTTGGAAGTAGAATCCTCACCATCAGCTCCAGCTGATGCTTCATGGACCAGAAACAAACCACAATGCCAAAGGCTTCTAGAATTCTTGAAGCACAAAACAAGGGTTGGGGAGATACTATAGTGATTCTTGGCACTAAATGGCAAAGTATTTTGTTACATGGTAATGAATTCTCAAAATAGGGTTCTTGTTCCATTTCTGTCACAAGCAGTGGCTAAAGAAGTTCTTCATCTACCTCTACAAGATATGGACACCTCTCCTTGTTGATCTACGTCATAGAGATGCTGTGAGCTTCATCGGAATGAAATAGGCAAAAATAGTGGAGGCAAGATATTCTTGTTGCTTCTAGGAAAATGTGTCCATAATCCTGACTCATGTGTGCTCATGCATGTCCAATTTAATGACCTCATGACTGTTCTTTCCAGTTATAAACTCAGTACCTGAAATTAGGTCTCTGTATTCCCTATACAGCCTTTGGTGTGTAGTTTTCAGTTTACATGGAATGCCTTTTATTAAACACAGAAATGAACCTATTATGTTATTTTTAATAACAATCTTTTAAGCATTTCCTTCCCAGTATATTCTATATGTTAGTCCAATATGATTAAAAAGCATCCTTGCATTTTTAAAATTATCAAAATGATTTTTCAATTATTTGAACAAATCACAAAGCCTTCAAGGAATTGTATGGCTCATTATTTCTTGACTAAGGTAATTTGAAAGAGGAAATAAAAATCAATTGTCCTTTTCTAAGTAACAGAAAAGCAAGGAGAAATCAAAAAAGCAGTAAAATCATATTGGCTGTTTTCATTTCTATAGAGCAAGCACATTTTTAATTCTAGTCAGTTGAGAGATTCTTAATATCTGCAGACTAGATCGGTGATGTAGTTCAATCATTCTCAAAGTTTTACACATTCTAGTTAATGAAGGAAAGACTCAGTTTTTAATAATTCCCATGGATAGTAACCTTATAATGTTGAACAAAGACTAAATTTTTTCTATTGATAGTAATGAAATAGAGAACATTGACCCAATAAAGTTTCAAGTCTGTACTGCTTACAACTCGGGTTTCGTGGAGTTGATTTTCTAGTCAATAATCTAGTTGAAAATTTTCACAGAGAGTGAAATTTCAAGGATATCTTTCTAGATTCTATCCTGACTTCATGTTCTTACTAGTATGTTTCTTTACATTAGAAATGCAACATTTAAGCCTCAGTTTATTCATCTCTGAACTCAGAAAATGGAGGTCATGGGCCTCCCCGGTGGTGCAGCGGTTGAGCGCTGGGTTGCGAAGCTGCCCACAGCCTCTGCAGTGCCAGTTCCATCCCCGGCCACCAGGTGAGGGTCCCCCATGGTGCACAGACCTCTCCTGCCGCCCGCTGCTCCCCTCAGCAGTGTACTTCATCACTCTGCCTGCTCTGCTCCCCGCTCTGGCTCTGGTGAATTCTCCCACCCTCCCGTGCTTCTGACTGTACCCAGTGCTTGTATAAATAAATAAATAAATAAATCTTTAAAAAAAAAAAGAAAGTGGAGGTCATGACATCTATGTGATAAGGGTTATGGTGATTAATAAGAAATATATGACAATACCTATAATTGTGCTTTATGTCTCAGAGCTTTAATTGAAATTAGTTGCTTCAATATCTGTCTTAGAAGCAGGACTAGCCATTTTGCTATCTGTGTCACTATTATCAGCTTGTCACCTGTTGTAATCACTATTACTAGCCTTACTCCCACTACTTGTTAGTAATCCTGCTGGGTCTTAAGCACACCATGTCTCCATTTAAGGACAGTTTCAGGTCAAAATGACAAAAGAAAGGTTAATAACTCATTTTTCCCCCTCTGGTAGCCTTCCACCATTTTTTAAATCCCATTCCCACTTCCAAAGAAATCTGCAATATAAACTAATCCCTGCTAATACATTAACCTGTAATGATTTCAAGTAGGTACTTCAGGAAAATGCCTGTAACAAAAATTGTATTTTCAAAGTACAGTTTCTTAAATTAGTATTTTCTGTCTTAAACCTTCAATTCTATATTTGTGAATATTTGAGAGATATAAAAATGAATTTTTCAATGTGAATTCTCTTTTAATTTTTCCAGTTACCCCACTACCACTCTTAATTCCTTTTAAGAATTGGGAATTAGGGCCTCCCTGGTGGCCCTAATTGTTTCAAAGACTTGAAACAATAACATCATGTTTTAACTTTTCTTAGAATCCCCTGTTTTAGATTAGTCTTACCTTGAGCTTGGATAGTGGAAACGTCAATCCTATCCTAATTCCCTCTGCACACCTGCCCACAGTGTGCCAGGAGAGCTCCCAGAAATTAGTGCCACCTTTACCACTTCCTCTATTCCATTTAGTAAGCATGGATAGCACTTTTCTTTGAGACTCTTAATTCTAGTGTCCAGAGTCTGCAGGTGTGTACAGAATAGCCCTTCTAGTGACTTGTCCATTCTCATTTCTGACTTGCACCAGGAGGTGCAGACAGTCACCTGAAGCTTTAGGGCCATCACATCTAAAGATCCCAGGTTGCTCACTGATAATTTTCTATGTGGTAGTTTTTCTCTTGGCATCTACTTGTCTCTGACTATGAAATCACCTCCTGTATCAAGTCAGAGTCAGATCTGCAAGCTAGACTTACCTTGAAAGAATGATACAGTGGTACAGACTCAGCATAGATAGGAGATGTTTCTTCTTTGATTTGTATTTCTAGTATGGTTAAGGGAATGAGAAGCAAAAAAAGGGAGGGGAAGAGGTAGAAAAGAGTGCCCTGAATTTCATTCAACTTAAGAAAAAGCATTTCTGCAAATAAGCCACACATATTTGCATCTTTAAAAAAGTAAATCAATACAATAGTCAAACAAAAAGCCATTAAGCAGTGCCACAGAGCTACACATATATGGCCTTTAATGAATGCATTCAGTCATCCAGGGAAAGGCTAAATGAATCCGTGGTCTTAGGTAGATTTAACCTTGCAAATGTCGTAGGTTTGTTCAGCCTTTACTACTGAAAATGCATAATGACCAAAGGTGCAATTTACGTTACTAGAAGCAAAGCTAAACACTAAATGCTGTTCCTAAGGATGCTGAAATAGTGTCATGAAATGTGTGTTGATCATCCACAGAATGGACTGTAGTCTCTTAGGGATCTTGTGCCCACTGAATTTGTGTTAGACAAGTTTTTGCCCTCAGAAAGCTGAGCACACTGAATTCTCACAATAATGAAAAGACACTACTATTATTCCCATCTGTTCAGAGGAAGAGATTGAATTGTTAAGATGCTTAGAAGTGTAGTGATAGGGCCTTTTGACTCCCTATGCCTAATTCCAAATTCTTTTTTTTTTAAAGACTTAGTTATTTATATAAGAACTGGGGTACAGGCCAGAGGCACGGGAGGGTGAGAGAATTCACCAGAGACAAAAAGGGGAGCAGAACAAGCAGATGGACCGAAAACACTGTTGGGAGCAGCAGGGTGAGACAGGAGAGGTCTGCCGTGCCATGTGGGTATCTCCCTGGCTGGCCAGGAATGGAACCTGCACTTCAGAGACTGCGGACAGCTTCATAGCACTGCACTCAACCCACTGTGCCACCAGGGAGGCCCTAATTCCCAATTCTTAAAAGGAATTAAGAGTGGCAGTGGGGTGACTGGAAAAATTAAAAGAGAATTCACATTGAAAAATTCATTTTTATATCTCTCAAATATTCACAAATATAGAATTGAAGGTTTAAGACAGAAAATACTAATTTAAGAAACTGTACTTTGAAAATACAATTTTTGTTACAGGCATTTTCCTGAAGTACCTACTTGAAATCATTATAGGTTAATGTATTAGCAGGGATTAGTTTATATAGCAGATTTCTTTGGAAGTGGGAATGGGATCAGCAATTCCACTCCTAGGTATTTACCCAAAGGACACAGAAACATCAATTCCAAAGAGCACCTGCACCCCTATGTTTACAGCACTGTTTACAATAGCTAAGCTTTGGAAACAACCCAAATGCCCAAAAATAGATGACTGGATCAAGAAGATGTGGTACATATACACCATGGAATATTACTCAGCATTCAAAAAAGATAAACACATGCAATTTGCAGCAACATGGATGGCGCTGGAAGGGATCATGCTCAGCGAAATAAGCCAGAAAGAAAAAGAAAAATACTGGATGGTCTCACTCATAGCAGGAATCTAGGAAACGTAAATAAGGGACCAGGAAATAGAATAACTATAAGAAAGTGAAAATCAAAATCAACAAAAAACTATGAACCAGAGACACTCTATGGGGGTGGGGTGTGGGGAGGGGAGGGATTGGGTCAAAATAAGGGGGTTGCAATTGTATGGGGAATATAAAAATAAAATTTATTTAAAAAAAAAAATGGTGGAAGGCTACCAGAGGGGGAGAAATGAGTTATTAACTTTCTTTTGGCATTTTGACCTGAAACTGTCCTTAAATAAAATATGATTTACCTTTCAGAAGATAATGTCACCCCCTGGAATTGTTAATGTAGGCTGTCACACTGCTTTCATATGTATTTCCATTCATTGTTTTGGCATTGGTTCTGATAGCAGTGTAGATAAGATGTCCAGGTTTCTGAAACCTCATTTTTTTGTTCAACAAATATTAGTAGGCGCCTATGCTGTGCCCGGTACTTGAGATGTATCAGGGATTCTGATTCATTACATCTGCAGGCTTAAGGAGGTCTCTCATATGTTATAGAGCAGTCACTATACATGAAGTAGAATTCTTCATGACTGATCACCCTCATTTTATATTTCCAAGCATCAATAAGCCATTTTTGCAAGCCAATTCTGCACATTTTCTCAAGTCTGTTATTTTTGATGAGGATGTGTACTTGGAGACACGTGAGAAATGGTAATCAAATTCAACTTACCAAGTGAGAAGCTACTGAAGTAGTACTCTGCATGAAAGATGATAGTTTGCCAGCATGATATTGTATAGGACTGAATGCATATACCAGGGTGGGTGATTATTGAGGGAAAATAACTGAACTTTTTTTCATGTATAGTTTTACATATTCTTCTGGATTGTGGTTTGTGAAAATAGTGTTCAACAGATCGAAATTCCTTGTAAACTCCTAAGAACTCACATTTTATAACTGTTGCAGTGTTCAATGGTAGCCTGTCTGTCTTACCCCTCTGCTCATTTGAAGCATGTTTTATGAATGCGGCCTGACGCCAATCTGCTGGTGGACATCCCATTACAAAAATTATTGGTGAGAACTTTACTCCTTCACTTAATGATGGAAGAAATTTAGATCCTTTTTTAAAAACTATTAAATAATTTTCTTTGTAAAAGTTATTAGAAACAAGGATGCATATCCATTTGTGTTTGATAAAAAATGCTAACTGCATATAAATGGGAGAATACCAAGGCCATATTTTACTCCTTCAGGAATAGACACAAGGTGAATTATATTTGTCAAGGAAATAAGAAAATGAACTGATTTTTAAAAGGTTGTTTACAAAAAGAGCTATAAATAGTTTGAATTCCAATTAATGTTTTATAACATAAAAAGGTGGTTAATCTCTAAAAGGAAAACATTAAAGCTAATTGGATTTTTAATTCTGAAAAGCCCACAGGAAAGGTTTTTCTTGATTAAAAAAATTAAACTCATTTTACAGAATACATTTTGGTCAGGGTTAGGGAAGGGTAATTAACTTCCCATGGAAGATTCACTAATTACCACTAAAGACAAATTAGGTTAAACAAGCCTTGAACTTGGAAAAAAAAAAGCAAAAATATTTATCAGGTGCTGTGGAATCTAAAACACTATAAATACTAGGACGATCTGTTTAATATTTATGTGTGAATTCTATTTTTAGAGGATTCACACAGACTTTTTAACTTTGTCATGAATATGATTAAGTTACCTATCTTATGCTTAGATTCATTAAGCACTCATGGAAGTCTTTAAAAATTGCAAAATTTGATAATGCAAGGAAATTTTACCCTGGAAATATGGGTTTATAAAAAATATTGCAAAGTATAGTTTACAGTTTTAATTAAGTAATGTTCTTTAGATAGATAAATCTAGTGCAATATTAGCTGAAAAATTAATAGTTTGTAGTTTCAAAACCACAAAACACTTTATAATCATTTTGAAATTTTCTATTCACAATGACAAGATTGTTACTTTTTTAAGGATTATTTTCTCTTTCTAAAGAAATATTACTTTTTTAGGATTTTTTTCCTCTGGAATAACATTACATATTATGACACGTGCTATGTCTATAAATCAATTAAATGTGTATACTGGCTAAATTGCTACAAATAGTTTTTGACAAAACATTGTGAATATATGAGGCTACAGCACAATGTTAAGTAACTTTCAGTTTAGAAAAGGCACAAACTGCTAGTTTAAATCTTCTTTGCAATTTATTTCCTGGAAGCATGGAGATTAAATTTTGTCACGAGGGATTCTCTTTCTTTTTCCCTTATACTAGGGAGTTGGGGAAGGGAAGGCAGATTCAGAATTTAAGAATAAAATTTCCAATGCCCATGCATCAGACTTAGATGGCTATCCATTCTGCTTAATTAATTAAGAGGGAAACTTCACTGGGCCCCCACCTGCTAGTGTTAAAATGCTGACTGATAAGGGATACCTCTGATTTGAGGAGAGCATGCTATGAATCTGATAACAGACAACGTCCTGTGGTACCCTTACATTTTTATTTATTTATTTATTTATTTATTTATTTATTTATTTATTTATTTATTTCAATTTTATTTTTATATTCCCCATACAATTATAACCCCCTTATTTTGACCCCAATCCCTCCCCTCCCCACACCCCACACCCCATAGAGTGTCTCTGGTTCATAGTTTTTTGTTGATTTTGATATTTTATTTCTTATAGTTATTCTTTTTTCCTGGCCCCTTATTTAAGTTTTCTAGATTCGTGCTATGAGTGAGACCATCCGGTATTTTTCTTTTTCTTTCTGGCTTATTTCGCTGAGCATGATTCCTTCAAGCTCCATCCATGTTACTGCAAATTGCATGTGTTTATCTTTTTTGAATGCTGAGTAATGTTCCATGGTGTTTATGTACCACATCTTCTTGATCCAGTCATCTATTTTTGGGCATTTGGGTTGTTTCCAAAGCTTAGCTATTGTAAACAGTGCTGCTATAAACATAGGGGTGCAGGTGCTCTTTGGAATTGATGTTTCTGTGTCCTTTGGGTAAATACCTAGGAGTGGAATTGCTGGATCATATGGAAGCTCTATGTTTAGTAGGTCCAGAAATCTCCACACAGCACTCCATAGTGGTTGGACCAGTTTGCATTCCCACCAACAGTGCAGGAGAGTTCCTTTTTCTCCACACCCTCGCCAACATTTGTTGTTGCTAGTTTTTTTAATATGTGCCATTCTCACTGGTGTAAGATGGTATCTCATGGTAGTTTTGATTTGCATTTCCCTGATTGTAAGTGATGTTGAACATTTTTTCATATGCCTGTTGGCCATTTGCATTTCCTCTTCAGAGAAGTTTCTTTTTAGCTCTTCTGCCCATTTTTTGACAGGATTATTTTCTTTGTTGTTGTTGAGTCTCATCAGCTCTTTGCAGATTTTTGTGATCAGTCCTTTATCATTAGTGTTGTGTGCAAAAATGTTCTCCCAGTTGGTGGGGTTTCTCTTTGTTTTTGTTATTGTCTCTTTTGCTGTGCAGAAGCCCTTTAATTTGATGTAGTCCCAGCTGTTTATCTTTGCTTTCACTATCACTGCTTTGGGTGATGTGTCTGTAAAGATATCGTTGATGTGCTTATCACGTAGTATTTCGCCTATATTTCCTTCTATGTATTTTATGGTTTCAGGTCTGATGTCTAGTTCCTTAATCCATTTTGAGTTGATTTTTGTGAATAGTGTGAGGTAGTGGTCAAGCTTCATTCTTTTGCATGTAGCGACCCAGTTTTCCCAGCACCATTTATTGAACAAACTTTCTTTGCTCCACTGCATATTCTTTGCTCCTTTGTCAAAGATTAGTTGACCATAAATCTGTGGGTTTATTTCTGGATTTTCTATTTGGTTCCATTGGTCCGTGTGTCTGTTCTTGTTCCAATACCATGCAGCTTTGCTGATTATGGCTTTGTAGTATAGTTTGAAGTCTGGGAGTGTGATGCCTCCATTCCCTTCTTTTTTTTTCTGGAGAGCTTTTGCTATTTGGGGATTTTTGGTGATTCCATATGAATTTCATCAATAATTGTTCTATTTCTTTGAAGAATGTCATTGAAATTTTTTATTGGAATAGCATTGAATCGGTATATTGCTTTTGGTAGGATGGCCATTTTATAATGTTTATTCTTCCAATCCATGAGCAGGGGATGTCTTTCCATTTCTTTGTGTCTTCTTCTATTTCTTTTAACAGTGTTTTATAGTTTTCTTTGTATAGGTCCTTGACCTCTTTTGTTAGATTTATTCCCAAGTATTTGATTATTTTTGTTCTGATAATAAAAGGGATGGTTTTTTTGATTTCTTCTTCTTCAGATTTATTGTTTGTGTATAGGAAGGCTACTGACTTTTGCTTGTTGATTTTGTATCCTGCCACTTTACTGAACTGACTGATGAGTTGAATTAGTTTTTCTGTGGAGTTTTTGGGTTCTCTATGTATATTATCATATCATCTGCAAATAGTGATTGTTTGACTTCTTCTTTTCCAATTTGGATTCCTTGTATGTCTTTCTCTTGTCTTATTGCTCTGGCTAGGACTTCCAGTATTATATTGAAAAGCAGTGGTGAGAGTGGACATCCTTGTCTTGTTCCAGATCTTAATGGAAATGCTTTCAGCTTTTCACCATTGAGAATGATACTGGCTGTTGGCTTCTCATATATGGCCTTTATGATGTTGAGGTATGTTCCTTGTATCCCAAAAATTTCAAGGGCTTTTATCATGAATGGGTGTTGTTCTATGTCGAAAGCTTTCTCAGCATCTATTGATATTATCATATGGTTTTTATATTTCTTTCTGTTGATGTGTTGGATAACGTTGATTGATTTTCAGATGTTGAACCATCCTTGTGTCCCTTGCATGAATCCTACTTGGTTGTGGTGAATTATCTTATGGATACACTGTTGGATTCTGATAGCTAAAATTTTTTTGAGGATTTTTGCATCAGTGTTCATTAGCGAGATTGGCCTGTAGTTTTCCTTTTTGGAGTTGTCCTTGTTCGGTTTTGTATTAGTGTAATGTTGGCTTCATAGAACGTGTTTGGTATTGTCGCTTCCTTCTCAATTTTTTGGAAGAGTTTGTGAAGGATAGGCACTAATTCGTCTCTGAATATTTGGTAGAATTCATTTGTAAATCCATCAGGTCCTGGGCTTTTGTTTTTGGGGAGGTTTTTGATTACCATTTCAATTTCGCTGCTTGTAATTGGTCTGTTTAGGTGTTCTATTTCTTCTTGATCTAGCTTTGGGTGATTGTAGAGTTGTAGGAATTTGTCCTTCTCCTCTACATTGTTGAACTTGTTTCCATATAACTGTTCATAGTAGTTACTGATTATTCTTTTGATTTCTGCTGTGTCCATTGTGATTTCTCCTCTTTCATTTATGATCCTTTTTATTTGTGCTTTCTCCCTTTTTTCCTTTGTGAGCCTGGCTAGGGGTTTGTCTATTTTATTTATTTTTTCGAAGAACCTGCTCTTGGTTTCATTGACCTTTTGGATTGTTTTTTTTCAGTTTCAATTTCATTCATTTCTGCTTTGGTTTTTATTATTCCTTTTCTTCTACTGGTTTTGGGGTTTTTTTGTTGTTCTTTTTCTAGATCTTTGAGCTTCAAGATTAGGTTGTTTCTTTGAATTCTTTCTTGTTTCTTGATGTGAGCCTCTATTGCTATATATTTTCCTCTTATTACTGCTTTTGCTGCATCCGATACATTTAGGAAATTGGTGTCCTCATTGTCATTCAATTCAAAGAATTTTTTAATTTCTTCTTTGATCTCCTCATTAGTCCAGTGGTCTTCTAGTAGTGTGGTTTTCAATCTCCATGAAGTAGGAGAGTTCCTTGCCTTCTTTTTTATGGTTTATTTCTAGCTTGATGCCTTCATGGTCAGAGAAGATGGTTGGTATGATTTCAGTCTTGCTGTATCTGTTGATGTTTGTCTTGTGCCCCAGTATGTGATTGATCCTGGAGAATGACCCTTGTGCGCTTGAGAAAAATGTGTACTCAGATTTTTTTGGGTTTAGTGTTCTATAGATGTCTTTTAAGCCCAAGTGCTCTAGATCCT